TAAAATCACATTAACATGATTGCCGGTGTTTGTATTAAATGTTTTAATGATATTGTTAACGTTTCACATGATTTCTTTTACAGGTTCTATTTTGACTTTAGCCCAACCTATGTTGGTTGTGGTCTTATTTGCCCACACATAGTAAATTGCTCAGTTCTTCTCGGGGCTATCATATCTTGGGGTTTCCTGTGGCCCTTCATTTCTGCACATGCTGGGGATTGGTACCCTACTGGCTTGGAAAGCAATAATTTTAAAGGTCTTTATGGGTATAAGGTACAGTGAAAATTTTGGTGTCCACAGTTATTTTTATGGAAGTTTTTGATGGTTCTGTCCTTACACCTGGCTTCCTTATTCTCTGTCTTTTATCCTCATTGAAGCGTTCTCTTCTAAAGAAGTTTTCTGTGTTATCACTTGTGCACAGGTCTTCATAGCTATTGCTCTTATCCTTGGTGATGGTCTTTACAACTTGATCAAGATAATTTATATAACTGCAAAGGAAATGTGCAACAAGAGCACCCAAGAGAGCAAACTTCCTATTGTTAATGAGGTTATAGGTGAGTATGCCCTATATTTTCCTTTGTTGTGTATCAGTCTGTTTTATTGTAATGGTTTTCATTGCTTTAGAATTACTGAAGTCGTATAATCACCACTGAGTGGCTTCTACTGAAATGACATTCCTTGTGTAAAATTGTAGTTCTAGGTAAAACTCATTGATAGATATATAAATATAGAGCCTTAACTTAAATATGTAATTTCACCTTGTTGAAATTTCTGAAAATATTATGAACTTTAGGCACAATGCGCATGCAATTATCTTTTTCATTGTTCTTAGACCATTCTATTCTCCACTAACGGTTTATTGCATTATTTTCCACTTTCCACAGATAATGAGAGCTCTAAAGGGCCAGCAGAGCAGAGAAAAAGAGAGAACATATTTCTTAAAGACAGGATACCTACATGGTTTGCTGCTTCTGGATATGTGGCCTTGGCTGCTATATCAACAGCTACTATTCCAATTATCTTTCCGCCCCTCAAGTGGTATATGGTTCTTGTTTCATACATCATTGCCCCTGCTCTTGCCTTCTGCAACTCTTATGGTACTGGACTTACTGACTGGAACCTGTCTTCCACTTATGGGAAGATTGGTCTTTTCATTATAGCTTCCTTGGTCGGAAGTGATGGTGGAGTCATGGCTGGTTTGGCTGCCTGTGGAGTTATGATGTCAATCGTCTCCACTGCAGCTGATCTAATGCAAGATTTCAAGACGGGTTACCTCACTCTATCATCAGCCAAATCTATGTTTGTGAGCCAGTTATTGGGAACAGCCATGGGATGTGTCATTGCTCCACTCACATTCTGGATGTTTTGGACTGCTTTTGATGTTGGATCACCTGATGGTCCATACAAAGCACCTTATGCAGTGATATTCAGGGAAATGGCCATTCTTGGTATCGAGGGCTTCTCGGAGCTGCCCAAGCATTGTTTGGCTTTATGTGCCGGATTCTTTGTAGCTGCTTTGATCGTAAACCTACTGAGGGATGTGACCCCCAAGAAAATTTCACAGTTCATTCCTATTCCAATGGCGATGGCGGTGCCATTCTATATTGGAGCTTACTTTGCTGTTGACATGTTTGTCGGAACAGTAATCTTGTACATATGGGAACGGATCAACCAGAAGGATGCAGAGGATTACGCAGGTGCAGTTGCTTCAGGTTTAATTTGTGGCGATGGAATTTGGACCATACCATCAGCCATACTTTCAATCATCAGGATCAATCCACCCATCTGCATGTACTTCGGTCCTTCTCTGAGTAGTTGATTAGGAAAACCACTGGTTGTGATATAGGATGCAACAGTGTGTGTATGGAAGTGTATTGTAAGAAGTGGAAGGTGCATCGGATTCTGTATATATGTCTGTTCTTTCATATTTTTCCAGTTATGGCAACAATCTGAGACTCTCAGTTAATTGGATTCAGTAAATGCGTTGTATGAATCTTGAAATTTGGTTTACAAGAAATATATCTGTTCATATATTTCCCATCACTGTCTAGATTTCTTTAACATGAAAATTGACCTTATTGTTGAATTCGGAGCACACTCTCTGTTTCCAACTGATAATTGGGTTATGAAATATGAATCGCCGGCCTTTCATAATCATTGAAAATTGAAGGAAAAAATGTAATAATTCTTCATGGCAATAGAAAGCTTTGCAAGAATAGCGGAGACCCAACTCAATGGATTGTGCTACCAATTTGAGTTGGTTCTACCAAATTTGGAAGTTTTGTTGATAAAAGGAAAATTTACGTTTAAACTTCGAAGATAACGAATATTAAATATGGGTAAACTACACGTTTAGTATATTAATTATCATTTTTGTTTTGTTTTGATCATTCAACTATTTTTTTTCAAAATCATATCTAATTTTTAGTTTTGGTTCATTTTCGGCACTCATCGTTAAAAAGTTAATGGTGGTGTTGATGTGTCAGTGTAAAGTAATGTCACATGATCATTGAAAAAATTTAAAAATTGTCACGCCAACAGTTCTGTTAATTTTTTAATAATAGATAACCAAAATGAAATCAAATCGTAACGATAGATATAATTTTGAAAAAAAATAGTTCAGTGACCAAATGGAACAACATTTATAGTTGAGGTACTAAACGTGTAGTTCACCTATTAAAAATTTATATATATTTTTTGAATAGTATAGTGATTACAAGATAATATATGTTCAAAATATTTTTTAGTCATTGACAATGCACACACACCCTGATGCAACTGCTCGAACCTGGACTTCGAGAGAGTACAACATTCTCTTTAACCACTGAATTCACTCAATGAATTCATTAAAAATTTAAGTTTAATAGATTGATTTTAATATATATATAGGTGTGAAATTTTCATTCTTAATATATAATATATATTTATGGACAACTTTAGGAAAATTTTAAATAAATATTTCTTTTTGATAAATTCTATAGTTAATTCTAATTTTAGTCAAGGGAAAGGGAAAAAGGAACTCTAAAAAAAGAAAGTGAAATACTTCTAAAAAGTCTAGAACTATGAATGGGCATGAGTATGTTTGGATCAACCCGACCTAACCCTAAAATTTTATATTCTTCACTCGACTCAACCTGATTCAAAAATTATATATCATCCACCCGACTTGAACCGACCCGATTTTTTGAGAGAAAATCTGAACCCGACACGAAATAATAAAAAATATTATTTTTATTCAATAAAAACATTGATTTAATTGAAAAAAATAATATATAGAGGGGTATTATTGTAATTATTCCTAAATATATAAAGTAAAATTATATTTTTTTGGGTTGGATCAGGTCGGGTATTTTTCACCCTAAACCCGAATCCGACCCAACCCGAACACCACCTTTAAAAAAATCCGAACCGACATGACTTGAATCCGAATTAAAATAAACCAACCCGATCGGATCAGGTCGGGTTGGAATGAGTCGGGTTCGCCATGCCCATCCCTATCTAAAACACATACCTCCAGGAAATATGGGAACAAAATGAGTAAATTCTTGAAAATTGGTGAAAGAAAGTGAAAAGTTTTAGGTGGTGGCCGTTTGGTGGTCTTACCGGCACCTAATTCTCACGAATAATTTGCACCCTATTAATGATGAACAACAAAGAAGGCTTTAGTATAGGTGTCTTCTAAGATACAAGGGTCATAGAAATCGAGTTCATTAAACTTTAATTTAACTGACTTATACATTTCTTTTTAAAGATTATAAAAATATGATATACAATAAATGTAAGATTCAAATATCAACATATCTGATTATTTATTTATAAATTGTAATTATCTTTAATTCGAATAAAGCTTCATTTTTCTTTTACGACAAATAATATGAATTTAATGAAAACTATAAATATTTAAAGACTTCCAATATCTAATACTTATACCCCTTATCCCATTGTATATGAGAATAATATTTTGTTGTTGTTATTGTTGTAATGTCTAATACTTATACGAATTTCAATGTCTAATATGAACAGTGATGAATTGACCAAGTCGTACATGAATCAAGATTTTATATATATTTATTTTCTTTTTAGAGTGATGGGCCAATTTGTAAAATATTTACTTACATCAAAATTTGTGCATATTGTATTAGAAAAACCTATCAAATTTAGTCATATATTTTTGTTAGCGACTCCCTTTAGGCCTAATTTTATTATCTAAGTCTCCACTTTATCAAATTTCTAAATTTTTATTTTATATATTTTTAATGTAAATACTCAATAACCTTATTAATAACGTTATGTTAATTTTAAATATATATTATCAATTAAACTTTATTGTTAAATTAGACCTCCAGAATTAGAATGCTGTATATTTAAATTTAATGAAAATACATTAATAATTTTATCAATAAATTTAATGTTTTTTAAATAGTTTCCAAAATTAAAAATAAAGAACTAAATTTCAGAAGGTAAGAGGAGATGGGAATTTAGGGCACAATTATACCTTACCTTCCAAAAGTATAGTAATATTAATTATAAATATTTACAATTAAATTTAAATAGAAATCCGATCAACTCTACTCAAATTTTATAAATTCAATTGAACTAAAAAAATTAAATTATAAAATAGAACTCATTAATTAGAATAATTTAAAAAAATTTAAGTCAACCCGAGTTGACCCTAAAAAGGAAGGTGAGAACTAAGAAAGAATTCAATAGTACTATTTAAATATTTATAATTAAATTTAAATAGATACTTAAATTATTCTACTTGAGTTTATAAAATTAAATTTAACTCAAATAAATTTTAAATTATAAAATAAGATTTATAAATTCAAATAATTTAAAATGTTTTGTCCAACTCCATTTTCGATGGAATGTTAACCCCTGAAAAATCAAGAACGAAAGGATCAATATTTGTTTGACGTGTTGTAAAGTGAAGCCAAGTTTAAAAGTTTTGACAATTGAGGTGTGGCGTCGGGATTTCAATTTTCGATAAATAAATACTTTTGTCCTCACATTCCTTTGCCAAAAACAGTGAAAAACAAACTCATGGAAGTCTAGGAACTTTTTTCAGGTCACTTTCTTCTTCAATCAAAGAGGGCTTCTTTTTTTATCCACCAATGGATCCCAAGGACTCCAAGCAGCCTCCTCCACATCAATTTCCCAACTTCTTGAGCTTACCATCACAACCCCAACAACAGCAGCTTCAAAACACTGGTGGGAACAAATCAGCTGAAACAAAGGATGCCCTTGCTGTTGTTGCAGATAAAGAAGAAGGAAAGAAGCAACTTTTGGCCCCAAAGAGAAGTTCTAACAAAGACAGGCATAAAAAAGTTGAGGGAAGAGGTAGAAGGATAAGGATGCCTGCTCTATGTGCAGCTAGGATCTTTCAGTTGACTCGAGAATTGGGTCACAAATCCGATGGGGAAACCATACAGTGGCTGTTACAGCAAGCTGAGCCAGCGATAATAGCCGCCACGGGGAGCGGAACGATACCGGCATCGGCTTTGGCAGCAGCTGGAGGCTCCGTTTCACCGCAAGGAGCTTCTCTATCTATGGGGTTGCACCAAAAGACGGAAGATTTACGGGGGTCCAGTGTAGGGTCAGGGAGCAGTAGAATCAATTGGGGGATTGTTGGTGGTAATTTGGGGAGACCCCATCATGTGGCAGCAACAGGGTTATGGCCCCCAGTCAGTGGCTATGGGTTGCAGTCATCATCCGGTCCGTCTACAACAAATTTAGCCTGTGAAAGTTCTACTTATATGCAGAAAATTGGGTTTCCTGGTTTTGACTTGACAGGCAATAATATGGGTCCGATGAGTTTCACCTCAATGCTTGGTGCGGCTAACCAGCAGCTCCCTGGTTTGGAACTTGGGTTGTCTCAAGACGGTCATTTTGGGGTTTTGGATCCTCAAGCCTTGAGCCAGATGTATCAACAGATGGGGCAGGCTAGGGTGCACCATCATCACCAGCAGCAGGAGGGGGAGGAGCAACAACCGCCTGCTAAAGATGATTCACAATGATCAGGCGAGTAAAGTTATCTATTTTGGGAGCAAGACTAAAAAAGTAGCATGCCTGAGAGAGGATGGCTTTTTTCTTGTAATGGTTTTAAGTATTGTATGATTGGATTAAAATGGACACTTTGATTCTCAGAACTCTATGGCTGACTGTATGGATATATTGCCCCCGTCTTTCTGCATTGCATCACCCAAATTTCCATTACAGGTGCTTTTTTCCTGATTCTTGTCTTTTGTTGAAATTACAAAGTTTTCAAAAAAAGTGTCAACTCATTTGTGCCTAATTGGTTTTGCTGTGGAATGTGCAGGTGGAGCTTTGCACAGCCTAGTAGCATGGTTTTGGGATTATCTTCTGGTTTGATTTGGAGGTGTTTTGAATATAATACAAGGGACATTTAATTGTTTTCTTCTTCTCTAGGTCTTGATGGAGTTGGAATCAGTTTGCTTATGAAATTAAAAACAGAAATTTGCAGTCATACATGTCCGGTTTATTCTTAGATAAAGTAGGAACTTTTATTTCTCTAAAAGGTTACATAAAGACCCAATTGTTGATTATTTCTGGATGCCAAAAGCATGCATGTTTCCTGCTATAGCATGTCTGTTAACATATAAGAACCTAGTTCTTTTGTGCCGATCTTACCTTTTTTTCTTTTTCTTTTGGGTGGGGGGACCCTTCATTATTCCTAAATTTTATTCACTGGATTAGTTTTTATTTATGGAATTTGTATCCAGTCACTGCTTGAGCACACAAGGGATTTTCACTTTGGATGTGTTATTTGACTGTTTAAAATTCTCTCATTCAATGTTGAGCGAAGGATGAGTGGCCCTCTTGAATTGGAGACATAGAAGTGCCAGTAATAGCAAATAGCCTGCTTTGTTCATCAACTTTAAATGATAACATTGTGTACTGATATTCAATTGAAATATAGTTGTATACACAGGTATACTTAGAAAGATCATGCATCCTACTCATGTCTCCTTGACTTGGATTATCATGTGGAAGCCAATTCTACCAGTTGATTTTGGACTAGCCACTCACATGCATATTTGAAATGAATCAATGATAATATTTAGGATTGATCTTTAATTAGTAGCACAATGACTTTTCTTTTGTTGCCCCTAATGATTGTTTGATCTTCTCTTTTGTTGCCCCTAATGATTATTTGATATTTTCTTCAGTTGTCTGTCTCTATTGTAATTTAATTAGGTCCAGGTTGAGTTCTCCTTGGTGGATAGCCATAGTTAATTTGTGTTCAGTGATTTTCATGTGAAATCTATGATGGTTTTTCTCTATGTTACTCGGACACACGAGTATGTATCCAACATGGGTATGGTTAGATTTGTCAAAGTTTTTATTTGTATTTGGAGGATCCTTGGAGGTTATATCCTCCATATTCAAGTGCGGGACACGAGTGTGAAATACTAGCACTTCATGAAAAATGAAGAGTCCGAACAACGTAGTTTATAATATTCTTTTTGTTTTGTTACTCGGACACACGAGTATGTATCCAACATGGGTATGGTAGATTTGTCAAAGTTTTTATTTGTATTTGGAGGATCCTTGGAGGTTATATCCTCCATATTCAAGTGCGGGACACGAGTGTGAAATACTAGCACTTCATGAAAAATGAAGAGTCCGAACAACGTAGTTTATAATATTCTTTCTATTTTTGGTTTCCTAGCAACGCAAACTTATTGTGAAAACTCATGGACTGTAGCACAAAGCAGCAAAGCTGACTAACTTGTTTGCCCCAAAACACTTAATAGTTTCTTAAAAGAAATCAACGATGACAAAATCATGAGGTAAACTTACTTTGGTCCTTACATTTTTGGAACTTGAAGTCTTTTGTCATTCATTTGCTGTGTTAAATCATGGGGTAAGATCACTGCGCTCCTTGCATTTTTGACACTGGGAGATTTTGAGTGAATTGAAATTGACTGAAGAGGTTAAGTTTGTGGCCCACCATTCTGCACTTGGCATTCAAGTCTTTCATCTTCACTTGCTGTGTTTGTAGGTTATCTTCCAGTTGTATTTCCCATGCTGCATTCATTTTTACCTATCCTTGTGACAGCCTTCCAAGTTGACTATTTCTCAAACACATTCTTGGCATTATAAGTTCAAGTTTCTTGATCAATGATATTTGGATTCGAGTGCGAGTGTCGGATGTAAATAAACATTTGGTGCAACTATATTCGTTTAAAGGATATTTTGAGGATCGTATCCGTATCTACATATTTGTCCGGCACAGAAAGACCGGACAACATAGTTCTCGATTTCTACCTGCCCCTTTGAGTCTTTGAGCATCTCATCCCATTCAAACTGGTTCAATTGATTCAGCTTTCTAGCTTAAAAGATTAACAACAAAATCACATGCATGTTGATGATGCTAAGAGGACATGCATAAACATAACGTGAAAGATGAGTGAATGCAAATCACAAAAGCCGAAGGGGAAGTAAGTGTCTTTGCCGTTTTTTCTATCTTTATTGACTGAATTGCATGAAATGAATGGATTAGTTGTAGGAAGAGCCATCAATAATACTCAAAATACATACCTTCTATCTCATTCATTATTGCCATTCGCAAGTTTAGAAACGGAGAATCATTGCATAACTCACTGAAGGGAAATACCTAAATAAATGGGCTTTTTTACCCCAAACATCTCCTTTAAATAATTATTTCTCATTTTAACACTCACATTTGATTAATTTTCGGACTGACATATTTTTTTGGTCACGTATGTAAAAATGCATTTTACAAGAATTTTTTCGAAAGCCGTATTTTGTAGAAAACGTTCTCTACCTATGTGACATAATACTAGTATAATTGGGTTAAAATAATAGAAAAATTGAAAAATTATGAAAAATAATTTAAAAACTTAATTGAATATCAATATTATTTTTAAATTTGATTTTATTTTAATGATATTTAGATAAAAAAAAATCAAATAAATGATCTTTTTGGTACAAAATCCAAGGGACTTAATCATGTGGCAGACAAGCAAGCATTCGCCGACAAGCTCATATGTACAAGAGAATCTTACCACTGTAACTGACACCAACACCAGATAAATCAAGAGAAACCAAACCAGAAAAGGCTTTAATAACTATGCCTTCAATTATAGGTAGAAATTTAACACTCCCACAGTGTATCTCGTGAGATGCTTCAGCCAAGCCACCACCACCCCTCTAATCTCCATCACCAGATCCAAATACCCTTCACTAGATTCTCAGACCTCATCCATGTCTACTACTAGCTCTAAATTGTTTGTTGCCGTTGTTCCATTCCTCATTTTCCTGTCTAATTTGCAAACTGTGACCAATGAGCCTGCAGTTTCAGCCTCTCCAGCTGTTTTTCCGCACGTGAATGCACCCAATATGTCTACATTTTTCCCTACTGAAGCTCCACCGCAATGGCCGGGTTCAGAAGCCTCTGCTCCCATACCGAGCTCCGGAGAGTTCGTTGGGAAGAGTTCCGGATGTTTAGCTAAGTCCGATGGTGCCATGCTTATGCTTGTGCTGCAACTCTTTTTCTTGTTTGCGATGAGATTAGTCTCTACTGTTTAACCACATACGCATATATGTAGTTAAAATAAATAATGATATCCCCTGAGATGCTTGTAATAATCTTAAAACTCCTTTTTTCTGATTACATTTATGCTTATAATTACTTTTCAAATATATTTTAATTTATATTTTAATTGATGTTATAAATGTATTCTTGTAATATTATATAATTTATATTATTATTAAATTCAACTAAAATTTAAATTAAATATTATTTATTGTAAAATTTATAAATTTATGAGTTCACTTGATGGTTAGGTGATTAACCTTTACCCCTTTAGATCTAGTTCTGATTTGTGTAAAATTATATGTCTAAAATTTTTAAATTGTGATTTTGGCTTTAAATCAAACAAATAGTTAGCATAAAAATGGTAATATTTCTTTTCAGTCCTCACAATCCGACCATTATTCTTATAATGAACTTTTATCTTAATTGAACCTAGATAATTCAACCAACGAGATAATATCAAATGGTTATAATAATTCATGGTTTTTATATAATTATTTTGAATAAAGACGGATCTATTAATTTTAGGGTAAAGTTAACAAATAGTCTCTCAATTATAGGTTCATTGTTTTGTTCATCCCGACTATTAAAAGTCACAAAATAGTCATCAACTATAAGATATTGTTTTGTTAGGTCTTCCGACTATTAAAAGTTTTAAAATGATAACCCGACAATTCATATGTTGTAAACTCGTTCTTTTACGTTAAAAAATTAAAAATAGTATGAACTGGACGTTAACATGTTGACTGTGATATGATAAAATATGATTCTAAAATCTCAAACTCGTCTTACAATTAGGGACCATTTGTGTTCTTTACCCGTAATTTTATTATAATAAAAATGTACATCACCACTTTAATTCAAATGATTGGCATTGTTATTAATTTGAAATTACTAAATGAATTAATTATGATAAATCAAATTAGATTTTAATTTTAGTATAATAGAGGGATTAAAAACAAAATTAGACTAAAAATAAAAAGGCTAACCATTTTCGTAATTAACTGAAAATGACATGGTCAATTGATTATTATGGCTCGTAGATATCAGGGTCACTGTAAGATAGAACTAGACCTTATTTCTGCCTTAGTAGAGCGGTGGAGGCCGGAGACCCACAGATTCCAGCTTCCGTGCGGAGAGTGCACCATCACGCTTGAGGATGTTGCTATGCACCTGGGGCTTCCTGTGGATGGAGATGTGATATCAAGGATAGCTTCCGGTTCTTGGACTACTTTATGTCGGGATAATCTAGGACGTGTCCCGAAAAGTTTTATCGGAGGTAGGATACCGTTAAATTGGTTAGATGCCAATTTTCGGGAGTTGAGCGCAGACGCCTCTAAGGATGAGGTTAAGATGTATGCACGGGCATGCATATTGCAGTTGATAGGAGGGTTGCTGATGCAGGATAAATCACGCAACCTAGTTCACTGCATGTGGTTGCGGCATCTTTGCGACTTTCGTCTCGCTGGATCATTCAGTTGGGGCTCGTCAGTTTTGGATTTGTTGTACAGAGAGATGTGTGGAGCCATTGACTACATGCGTAATGCTATCGGCGGATGTCTCATACTGCTGCAGTCTTGGGCATGGTATCGATTGCCCTTTTTATGTCCCGTTGTGAAGAACTCATTCGCATTTCCACTACTTTTGAGGTAATTATAAAACTGATTTTGTATATTAATAATTTTATACAGCGTATAATAATTTTTTTTCCTTGAATAGGTGGTCTACTGATAGGAAAAATCATCATGAGCTACATGATGATTTAGAAAAAATTAGGATGCTAATCGATCAAAAGGCTGACACACAAGTATGAATTTTAATGTTTAAAAATCGATTTTAGATTATAGTTATATAATTAGATTTATTTTGATAAAAATTATATATTATTTGTTTTAGTTTGAATGGGTAACATATTCTACTGATGATGTGAGGGCGATGATCCCACATGAGTTGAGGGGTCCATCAGATGTTTGGATGGCGATG